CATTGTTTCCCTATAGTGTGTATTTTTCCACATTACGTGAGACTAATAACAGATTCTGAATTAACACCTGACGCGAAAAGTAGTACAAGATTAATTAGAAATAAACGAAAACGAAGTATTCAGATCCTGGAACTCTTCGTCAAAGGCGAGAACACCCTGTGCCATGAGAAGACATTATGGCGACCCAACATCGACCTTGAGGAATACCTATACAGTCACCAGCAAGATATTCTGGGTTTTTATCTTTAGACCTTTGAAAGGTTCCGCGATGCTAAAATTATCCGTTACGACATTAAACCATTCGTGTGGCGAAATTTTCCGCATTTTTATGGTGCTTACAGAATGGAAAGTGGAAGGAACCTGTTAGCACGCAACCATCTCCACTGAAAATATAATAAACGACGAAAAAAGACCAAATGTCTGTGACGTTGTAAGAATACCTTATCATTATAATCGTGAGCATCGCATGGCCTCACGAAAGTCTCAGATAAAAGTGACCAGTCATCGTGTTTCTAAGCAGTCGAAATTATCGTATATAATTCGATTCACGTAGAAATTGGAATTCAGGTCTGGGACGACGATAATAATGGTAAAAAAAAGCTAATAAGAGTCCCATGTTATTTTTAACCCAGTCGAATCCTAAATGTAGGAAATGAGTTGATGACTGAGAAAGCAGTCCTAGTAAATGATCAACTGCAATGAACATTCGCGACTCAACCATCGCAAAATGCTCAAGTTCCTGGCTTTTCTAGTTTCCACGATGTTGTCAGGCTTCTAAGCCGTTTACGTCAAGGCTACGGTCTGACCATTAAAGGATAATACATGCTACGTATCGGGTCACAACCCCGTTTTGCCATATTCAGGCCAGAAAACACCGACTGGTCATGGTCGCAAGGGAACAGACATCCTCATCTACTTACAAAAGAACCTAGGTACCTCGAAAATTCCGATTTTTTTGAAACTCTGCTGGTTTGGTGAAAACCTCGATAGAAGCATCAGATAATTTTTAATAACTTTTATAAAGCATATGAAGTCATTAAATTTTCATTGAAACAGTTTTTTGTTATCTAATATAATTTTCAAGATACATAGGAAAATACTAAAAAACACATTAACCTTTAAGGGAAGGTTTCACCGTAAAGAACCGGATATCAGCAAAAACGAATAATTTCCCGATGGTTCTATTAAGGTCCCCTATAAATATGCTGAATTTATAAGAAATCGGAACTTCAGAGTACCGAAGTTCCCTTGTTAGCTATATCTGCCACGGAAGTTCTGTCTTCTCCATCCTTTCAAATTCACACGATACACGCGGTACAGCCAGGTCCCCGTGTACCTCGTTCCATCCATAAATTCAACGTTAAGAATTATCAGCCTTGATCTACCGTCGTTTACGTAAGTTCAACTAGCACGAGATGATTACACGTCCCCGGCGTAGTAACTAGACGCGGGAGCTAGACCCCAAGAGCCTCTACTAAGAAGTTTATCGGAGGTGCACGTCACTTTCACTTTCCTTGGAAACTGTAGACTAGGTAAGGATGAATCCACACACATGATATTGAAGTACACCGACGAGCAAACTCGGCTTCCGCTAAGGGAAAAAGTGGTAGCATAATCGAGATTTTTCTCTTGTAAAAAAAAATTAGTCGAAGTGTACAACAACATGATAATAATTACAATCATTGTTTTTTATATGGTATTTATCTTCTATGATAATCTGATCCAAAGTGATAGGATACATCCGACACCGTAACTACGATCAATGTTTTCAACAAGTGAAAAGTCTCGATAATGATCAAACACGGTAGTAGACGAGCCGACAAATTAAATTGTTACCTAAAAACGAATCTTCGAACTGAAAAACGTTATCCCACATTTTCGACTTACTTTTTCATACAGAGCCACCCCCTTCCGTATTGCATCGCTAGTTAAAGGGAACTCCGTACAGCTGATGCAAAGATGTTTACACAAGAAGTTCCTCGGCAACACTGTCTGATTCACTAACCTCGATAACCTCTAAATTCATTAGAACTGTGTCTAATCATACATGGATAAGTATCTAAACGGAGTAAGGCTTAACAAACCCTCGTACTGTGACCATAGATAAGATACTGCAATCGGACTAGGTGACGAAAGAGTAACCCTAGCTCGAAGACAGAAGACTGTGCACTTGAACACATCAAGTAACACATTCAAGGCCAACAACCAGTTAGTAGAACCGTCACAGACGGCTAAGCAGCGGCTTCAGTTCTTAATGACGATGTAAAGAACCGATACGATCGCCAGGTGGTTCAGTTCGTCGCGATATAGTCGACGGAAAGGAAATTACTAGTTCGACGGACTAGTGACCGCGGGCAACAGTGTGGGTGTATAAGAAAAAAAACGGAGCACGTGAATGGGTATCCGTGAAGCGCAGAGATAACGAGTTTTACGGCATTGAACATCGGACCCTGCGTAACACTCCTGTTACGCTTAAGTTGCGCCAAGGTGAACACGACGATCCGCGTGGTACGGTCTGCGGCCTACGTGCACCGTTGTCGGTCTGTTTACAGTGAAACTCTATCGAAATTAATCGGAACGAAACGTTTCTTCGGTTCCACGCACGTCGAACGTGTTCCCGAGGCTGATTAAGGTTATCGCTGAGGCGCGTTCATCAAAAACAGTTGTTTATGATTTCAGCGCAGTTAGCGAAATCCTACGGTTCTTTTCGTAATAAATGCTGGATAATTTAAGATCATATTGAAATCTAGTACCTCATCCGACGAGTCGAGTCAGTAATTATAAACATAGGGAGCTGATGATTATTTAGGTGAGACAGAGACCATTGGCGTGACTAGGTAGGGGCCAGGGTGGGCCTGGTCCCCCAGAATACGGACTGCCCCCCCCCCCGCGTTCAGAAGTTATGGAAATATAAAGAAAAAAACATTCGTCAGTTGGTAAAATCTTATGTTATAAAAAATAAATACATGGGCCGAAATGCAATACGCAAAGCAACTAAGTACACAAAATACAATACTATCCTCATTACGTTAAAGTATTAAGTAAAATTATATTAGAATTAAGCTATTTAATTTTTACATTCTACTTAAGTAATAATCCTGCAACATCAATTGAAAGGTAATCAATTAAATTACGTACAGATGCCTGATGGGCAGTGTTATGGGCGAAAGTCAGTGGACTTGCCCCCCCCCCCTCCACAAAGAAATTCTAATTACGCCAATGACAGAGACAGAGACAGTTGCCACCCAATAGCTTAGCACCAAAGACATAGTGAATACTAGAACTGTTTCTCATAGAAACACATTTTTATTGATCTAGATGTAAAAGTGGCTCCAGGTCACAAAGTTGCAGGAAATTGTAGATAAACTGACATCAATTAGAAATGGCACATGTATAGGAAGATCGTGAACGAAAGAGCACGACCGTCGAAAGGGAGCATCGATCCAGAGTGGAGTAAGATATTGTGCTAGGTTCCGGTTGCTAATTGATTACAAGCCCGGTGTGGAAACAACGTGTACACTGTGTCACAGCGACCTTTTTCATATACATATGCACGCTGCCGATCCCTGGATTGCGTTACTATTGTAGTAACTGATACATCTAGGCCGGGAGTTGGATACTGTTCGAATACAAGAATATATTTTTCTTCATTTCAATTCCGACAAACGAACAATGGAGGAAGCAACCGCTTATAATGTTGCTTATCTGTAAATATTAGATAAAGATTCATTATCTAGAGACGAATCAAGTTTCGTTCGGTGATATTTCAACACTGGATGATAAGATGACAGTGCAGTTTGCCGTTCGTGGTATGAAAGTTGTTTAATTCTCAGAAATTAAACGAAACCTGTACGCCACAGTGTATATGTTTTTATGTAACGAGAAATGACCACGCGCTATACTCCCGCTTATAATAATAAGCTGTGCGGAAGGAAACAGTTAATTATAAACAGGACACTACGAATTTAAGGGGCATTCTCATTTAAACGATAAGCAAATATCGTCGGACGTACATCTTTACCTATTTTATTTTTTACCTGACCCAGAAACAAATCCCCGGAGACATTCAATATTTACCGCCTGTCAATGAAAGTACGCCTTTAACCATTGTGTAGGCAACCAGGTACACAGGCACCAAGATATCCAGGTACCCAGGTATCCAATTTTAAATTTCCTTTCACAATTTTTTATGTTCATGTCTAAAACAACACTTTGTATATTATAGGAAGGGAAAACTAAGAGTTTCGGAAAAATATAAAAGTAAAATTATCTATGTTCACCTAACTTATCAGAATTGGAATATTCCGATTGGTCAATAACCGTGAATATTTTGGTTGCCCACACAAGGGTTAACTTGGACGCGCCATGTTCGAATGCGAAGCTGCAACGAAACAACGGTAAGATAATCGGTATACGACGGCAATGAAGTTCCTTTTCCTATTCTTAGTCACGACGGTGTACTAAGAGAGCGCATGGTGCATACTATCGGTAACGCGGTGAATACGAATCGGCTGTGCTCGAGGAAAACTCATTCCAAATATTTCTAACTACCTCGGGATGCGTACGCGCACAGATAATATAACCGGTTGCATAATCTTGTTCATTCATCGATAACTGCATTCGTTGATCGCCAATCGCGGCATAATTCGGCCGTAAATTCGACACCCGAATGAGAAATCGATGACATTTCGCGGGAAAACTGTTGCATCTTGCGATCAGTGTCATCCCGGAAGTTCGAATCGAGAGTGATTCAAAGTGGTTTCGAGCTAGCCACTAGCAGTCAGCTGCACGCTGAGCCGTTAAAAAAAATAAAACACACAAACACACTATTCACAATTGACCTGCGGTACTATAGCTGCACGAAGATAACACTTTGTAGCGCACGGAATATTTGCATTAGCTTTGTTAGATAAATGTAATGCGTCTCGAATTTTTCGAATATGTTACAGCCAAATCAGTAAACGTCTACGGGGAAATATGCTAAGGCCGTTTGCGCTTACCTTCTATAATTGCACCGAGATTATCCTGACCCGTTTTTCGTGTCTCTTCCTCTTATCGAGTTCGACGATTCCCGTCGACTAAACAGTTGATTTTCCCACCGCGAATAGGAGAGGAAATTATCACTGTACGCGATCCAAGGGTCAAGAATGATGTGACTGTGTATTGGTGACGTGTATTAAACTGCCTGTACGCGCGTGTGTGTGTGTGTGTGTGTGTGTGTGTGTGTGTGTGTGTGTGTATGCATATAAAAGAACGAGGGACGAGAAAAGGACACGAGGGACAACCCGATCACAGCGTGACGTACTCCGTACGGCGGTCGACGAACGACTGAATTCGTATCGTGGACAACATGAGTAGTTAACACGTCTTAGGATTCCCTGACAATCTTTGATCTTTGCACTTTGTTTTGCCAGGCATACCCCAATACCCGAGGCCTGATAATAATATTGCCCAACGGCCGCGGGAGGTAAACTCGAAGACGACCATGTGACCGTAAAAAAAACAGCTGTTCGACCGATCGTCTGTCCTCGCGTTATTACCGGTATTTACGATGAGAACGAAATCGGTTTTCTCCCCTGACAAACCCTGTCAGATTAAGAAACCGGGTAATCATGTCAAGCATGCACCGCTCATCGAGCGTTCTTGTTGTTCTTACATTCGTCACGGCTTATCGATCGTAAAGATCGTACTTCTTTAGATCTTCCTTCACCAAGACACTACTACCGATGACTCTGTGGTTAGTCGCTCGATAAGATAAGCCTAGAAAGGCTTAAACACCACGTGCTTTTGTACTACGAACTGAAACACGATCCCACTGATTCCACAATCGCGGGTGGTACAATGTAACGCGCACACGAGAGCGATGGGCTCAACATTCCCGCGAACAACTCGCGAATGATAGCATTCCAATTTCGTACGATACACTTTTTTCTGTGTACATGTCAAACTCTTAACCTATTACGCGTCAGACTGTCGCGAGCACTCCATATATTTCACAGAAACCGAACGTGCCCTACTCCCAGACACGCACTAACGTCAGCGCGGAACACCGACCACTCTATACATGCTCGATCCAATGACGGCCATCTTGCTATCCGAGAGCTTAAAAACTGAAGGAATCGATGAAGGAACTGTTGCGAAATTTATGAAAATTGATGCAGGAAACGTATTCCCGTGACTTCTTAAATCATTAAAGATTATGCCTGTTCGGAAGAACGAAATTTTCGTTCGGTGTAGAAACGAGAAAACACTGTCACTATTTTGTCCCATATTTTCATTTGAAATTTCCCGCCACTTCTCGACACGTTTGATAAGACGCAGTTCAACATTCGATGGGTTTACATTTTATGTATCTGGTTAACATAACCCTGACACTGTGAAAGTTATTATAAATTGGCTGACTGTGTACAAACAATGTAGCAATATAGTTTAAACGAATCTGTATACGTATATAAGGACTCGAGGATTTGACCTGCAAAACCACAACGGTCATGCTTCTCAATATAGATAGCCGGCCTGCACGTGAACCAATCACGAGCCGAGTTTCAATGGGCGGGGATGTGGCGTGATCCGTGATGACGTCACTGTAGCCCGCAATCGATAACTACTCGACATTTAGCAAACCCTTCTAACCCGTTATTGTAGTACTATATACGATCAATGTTTCGGTTTCGACGCGCCACACATTTATCGCACGACGTCTTTTTAAAATAATTTTGTGATTTCGACAGAACACTAAGGTACTTTTTTAATCGTACTCGAATAAAGAAAATCAAATACATATTTGAAATTTTGATTTTTATGGTTTCATGAAGGACGATTCAATTTGTTATCACATAGTCAAGGAAATGATTTTACCGACCATAATCTTTGTTCTAAATACGAACAGTAAATTTTGAGACAATACATGAGAGAAATATCGTTGTATGATTTAGGGTAATTATATGTGACCACTGTTGTTTAACTCCTGGGTTACTTACAATTATTAACAGATTTACGGAATTTTATAATGACTACAGATAATGCAATCAACCGCAGAGCTGAAACGTAAACATTTCTGTTTTAAACTTTTTATCAAGAAATATGGACGAACTATCACTTCGGCTACACTAGAATAGCACTTTAGTATTAAACTAAGTACTATAAATACTCTAGGCACGAGTAGTTCTTATCGAATAAAAATGAGAAAACGTAAGATTCTTCTTGAATGTTCACAAATATACCAGATATGTAATGCTATCTATTCTAGTAAACATAATAATGACAAACAAGTGGAAAACAAGAGTTTGTTTACAATAAAGTAAATCTCGTATGAAAATAAAATTCGAAAAATAACTGAATGGGTTTACACTGTCATGTCAGATAACTATAGTGACCAAAGGTGGACAAGTACCTATAGCAGAAGAAAAAATGCGTGTACCTAATCAACATTTAAACTTTATTAAAACCAACAACATTAACAAGAACAACAAGAACACACCATTCCTTCTGAAACAGTCCATAGAAACTCGACTTTAAACAAATTCAATTGTTCCGCCGCATGTCGGTCGACAACGTCGTATATCGGTTAGTTTATACACTCGTCTAGAATGGTTCACATCATGAATGATCAAGTGCCGGGAGACCTACGACATTAGTAACATGATTCAAAATAATAATAGCCTCAGAACAATAACGCCTCTTCGTATCAAACCTTTCTAATTCGCAATATGCGTTAAGGCACTGCCGTTAATGGGCCGATCATAATGCTGCTACGGTCGCTAAAAGCAGTGCAAGGAAACAAGCCAGCAAAACCATAGAATATGTGGTTATCATAACAGTTATGAGGTTAGTGACATACGAAACACGCATTCCGGTCGAACGAGCAATCTCGTTGTCGTGCGGTCCACAAATATTTTTGCATTCTGTGCTCTCACCTTCGCATTCTGGGTCATGTTCATCAGTCCACGACTTAACATCAGTCGATATTACAGATTCCTCTTGATCGCATTCTAGTTGCCCGTCTTCATTTTCTAACGAACAAGTTTTTTCAGGGGTTAACAACGGCCTATTCTCTGTGATTGCAACTGGAGCGGTACAAGGAACATCGTTTGCATCCTTTTTCCATAATGCCTCTAATTCTTCTATTTCCTTCTTGTGCTCGCACAGACTCGCTGCTGCTAACTGTAAATCATGTACAGCTTTGGACAGATCCAATTCTGGATCGATATCAGAGTTATTTTTTGCCACCTCTGACTCAACCTCTTCGGGGTCCCATACTATGTTTACCGGTGTATTTTCTTTAGGAACTGCGTGTGATACGTCGGTAAACTTTGACGAGTAACACAAACCGTCGTTCACGTCGTCCGGACTGTAGGTGACGGAGCTACGAGTGCTAGTATTAGGCGCCGTACTATCCGTTTCTATTTCAGAACGTTGCGACGTCAGCGAATTCTTTTGGCTTACACGACTATCACGTAAGCGATCCGCCACGCTACTAAACGCCTCCGCAATTAGTTTAACATTTTCGTCTGCGACACGCAGATACAAGTCGAATGCATTATCGTCAGTCTTCTCGAGATCTTCATTCTCAGGATTAGCGACAGATTCTGTCAGTCTTTCGACGTCTCCATTCTCGGTGATTTCCTCGTAATTCTTCTCGCTGTGTTCCGAATATTGACTACCCAAGGTCTGAATATGTAATACCGAGGAGTCATCCGTTTTATTGGTATCATCTAGATTCTTTACTGCCGTTGCTTCCTCTGAATTAAAATCAGCTGTTTCTTTACTCGGTTCAATTTCCACTTTGTTCTCTCCCTCGATTAAATTAACTAAATCTTGGCACAAATTACTATAAGCGGTGAAATCAGATTCGGTGTCATTAGTGGACGACTCGTTCAATTTTGTCTGCAAGCAATCCTGCCAAAAGTCATTGTTCAATGCCTGGGATAGTATGCCGTTCGACGTCGCAGAGTTCTGCGCACCCGTGTCTTCCTCGCTCGCCTTGTCAAAACTCTGTATCTTCGTGGACGGTGAAACATAGACACGCAGTTTCTTACGACTTATATTCGAGATAGGATGATTACCGTTTATGTCAGTTTTCTTGTTTTTCAACGAGCTTTCGGTGCGCCATCGAGTATCGTAATCGGACAGTTCACCGTCGCTGACCACGCGCCTGAAACAATTAGATCTTGCCGGAAGTGATTTAATATCGATCACTCCGTTACTAGTTTCGTCCTTGATTTCTTGAAGACTGGGCTCCCGTCGAAGATGAATTCGATCGTGATTGATCAGACCGTATAGATTGGCGGACAAAGACCTAACCGCTCGTTTCTTCTTGATACCAAAAGTGGTTTCCTGATCTTTCGCAACGCCGCTCTTACTTTCAGCGGCACTTTTACCCGTGTTGGCATCCTTCCGGAGGGTTCTATAGGCCAAGTCGTCTGTAACAATGTCAGGCTCGCACTGCGGTATGTACGACGAGCGAGGATGATCTGGCCTGGTCGGTGTGGTGTGCAGATAGTCGCTTTCTGTGGCGGCAGTTACTGGCCCCAGAGGAATTCCAAATGGTGGTTGCGGATCAGCTACCTTCAATGTGTTGTTCGCGTAATGTATGCTACGGTAAACAACGTCATCGCGTTGCACATCCGGTACGTCTTTACGGACTGGATAATTCGAGGCGTACGGATAATTGTCGGCCGCGTCTTTGCGTGACAAGATTGGAGAGGCCATCAGGTAGCTGATATTAGAGAGTGCTGATTGCCCGATCACTTCCGACAACGATGCAGGTCTCTCCTTCGGGTGCATTCGTCTATATGCCATATCGTCTTTCGACCTATCCGGCGAATCCACCAAGTCTAACGAAACAGCGTCATCGGTTCTACCGCGTCGTAGACTGAATTCCTCCATGCTACGTCTTTCTGCCCGATCAAGAAGATCTTCGTCTCCGAGACACAAACTGTTGTATATTGCTTCCAGTTCAGACAGTGCTTCTTCCAGATTTTTCGAGCTTCTCCTCTTTTCCAGAACATCTTGCTCACTTACGGTTGATTGTTTCTCCTTCCTTTTCTCTATTCTTGGATTTTGTACAAGTGTATTGTTCGGCGAATGATAGGAACGTTCGTGTACAGTTTGTTCGGAAGGAGATTTTACTCCCGGAGAGTCTAAAGTTTTATTACGAGTAAATGCTGAATTATTGTATATATTTTGTGCAGAAGTCGGGGAAAGTTTGTTTTCGTCCTTTTTAGGATCGGGATCGTTAAATCGTAAGTTGAGCTGCTCGTTGCGATTGTTTCTTCGTTCACATTTCATTGCTTCTGTTTCAAGGAACATCATTTCATCGACATGTCTGCCCATTGACTTGTGTCTGTTGTTTGTACATTCCGACAAATTACACGATTCCGTTGGCATTACTGTTAAAGACAATGGACGCCGTGGGCAATGTCTAGTTGAACCACACCATCTAATTTCGTTATTCGAGTCATATGATCTTAAGCCTTTTAAATGGTCTCTTGATGTTGCATGAGACTCGTATACATTCGTGTGTTGAGATTCATTGTACCTTGGTATTCGATATTTACCGCTATGTGGAAACGAGTTACAACCATAGGCAAACACTTTACATCGTGGATCCCTTGGTGGAGGTTCTGGTGGACAGGAACTTCTGTATACAGACTGAGCATTCCTTACATAATCATAAGGTTTTGCATAGTCATTGTTAGTTGCAGGGGAAGTTGAAAAATAATTACATTCTGCATGATTCGTGTAATTCTTATCTTTGTGCAAAACATGTGGCTTTGCATATGTATTATTTTGATTTAAATCTGTAATGTACCGGTTCGGGGGATACTTTGTAATATCAGTAGACGACTTTGTTTGATAGCTGCATGCTGCTAATTGTACATTTTCTCCAGATCTTTGCACTGGAAAGGTGTAACTATTAGGGTGCATAATAGGACGTGGTTGTACTTGAGATTGAAATAAATTAGTTGGATCAATATCCAGTGACTGATTTGCATCCGCAAGGTCGAGGCTGCTACTTTTACTAACATTATTCGGATTTTCTGAAAATCTGTGACCCTCATCTTTTGACAAACGTTTTATATAACGTTCTGTACGCGCAGTACGACTTTTTCTATTACAAGAATTGCTTTTCTGTGTGTATTGTGTGGAGGATTCATTTTGAATTCTCGTCAAGGAATTACAAGATATACGAGAATCATCATCTGAACTACTATCTGCACAAATGCGATCTCTTTTTGCTTCTATTCTTGCCTTGAGTACACTTTTACGTAACTTTTTGCTCACTCTATCCAATGATCCTTCACTACTACGAGAATGCATAGAATTCCTTTGTAGATCTGTTGTGTCTACCGAAGTAGCAACAGTACTATTGCTTGAACTACCCTTACTTAAATGTTTATCCGTATTTCTTTTAACCGGATGAAGAGTAACACTATGTGACTTTCTATTAAACACTGAATGAGGCCTCGGTTGTCTTGTACAATATACCATTTCTTCATCATTAGAGGAACTGTCATAATCACGTATTGAAGATATTCGTTTTAAGATTCCACCTAGCGACCACTTTTTCTCCTTTTTCTTGTCGGATGAAGTTACTGCATCACAGACAGGCAGACGTCGTGTTGGTGGTAAAAGACCATCCATTCTCAGGATATCCTTTCCGGTAATACTTCTTTTTTCCATTGCGAAGAATTTCTCTACTTAAATAAAATGCCTGGAAGATATATCAAATTACCTTGTGTTCTAAAGTCCAATATAATATATCTATTGATTCAAGTTAATCTAATATATAACTACAGAAACATTTGACAGTTACAATTGTACTTACGAATATATATTTATATGTATATAAATGCAGAAAATATATAAATGTGTATAGTATATTTTGCAAAAAATACTTTGCAATAACAACTCTTGAATAGATTACATCTTATAGTAACGACAAGTACAATCTTTGATTCCGTTTACGGATGTGTTGATGCTATAGACACCTTGAAACAGGATTCCCATTATAAACAATTACACAGTATTACGTGCATGCATATAAATAGAATATTGTCTTCTAACCTCCATGCAGACGTTCAGCCCAAACGGTATTCAGATATGTATTTGGCGAAGGGCGAATTCTCTGTACGGTTGCCAAAATTTTCACATGACTCACAAGTGTCAGCCACACGACCATTCACATCGTGCTCGTTGCGAATGAAAAATTGCGACGCTATAACTGAGGTCAGTATGTTCTCTGTACCGAGTGCAGCGTCGATAACGCTGATAAGATCTTCCGCACCTCTTTCTAGCCTTTCGCAATTCGTCTGTCTCACTTGTTATCTTGACAGACGAGACGCAAGGGCGTATAGAAACTTCACTTTTCATGAATCACTGTACGAGCCGCCACGCGTTATTTTCGTCCATTCGGTCGGATGGAAATTAATATATATTTAGATGTTGCGGTTCGGCTACGTTCCGCGAACTCGAGGCATCTAAGTACGTTCTGCGACCGATATTTACTTTACGCCTATTTAGCGCTGCCATTACATCGACATCAGTGAACGCGTATCACGCGTCGAGCGCAAGAAATACTGTACGACTATACGAAACCGAGTCGGAATCTGCTCGAATCAGACGTGAGAAGAGAAGGGATTCATCGTTCCAACCCCACCCAATACCAGATTCCCCCTAACTGTCGCGCAGAATCACACACGGAAAATATTCCACACATCTTGCACACCCACACACCGCTGACGTATACATTTCAAGACGTGTCAGAGGGAATCTGTCAATGAATTAGGTTGTCTAGCAGACATTCTGTCGTTGGAACCTGCACGATGCATCGCAGAAATTGGTCCACGATCTCTACGATAGACTTCGGTAAGGTGACGCCATGTTTTGGTCAAACCGGAAGTACGCGCGCGGTTCTAACGGCGAAATGAAAAGAAAATTCAAACTATGTTACTTTTACTATATGTTCATCGACAGATTTGTAGCAACTCGAGTTGAAAAATTTAATAACAATAGTACACCACTTCCTAACGACATCGCAAATAATATTGTGTTTTATATAGTTAGAAAAACAAATTGTTAGGGAACCTATGTAGTTAATGGTCTCAGGTGGCTAATTCATTTCGCTTCCAGTTTACGTATCAAATTGACTTTTATATTACATTTAACGTGTATACAATCAATATGAACACAGGTGCTGTTACTAAAGGAATTATTAGACGACGATTACGTAGCATTTCTCAAGGCAACTTAAAAAGGCGCGAACGTCGTATTTAACGTGACAATTAGTACCATCATACCGCGCGACGTCCTTCTTACTTAAAAAGCCAGATCGTGTTCTTTTGATACCTACAATCTCGCCGTAGATTTTTATCCACGGCTCGCAAACGTTATCGCATTCTGTCTCGCACGAAGTGTTTGAAGGTCCAGCGAAAAATATCGTGTTTATTCTTTCGAAATTAGGTATTCATGCTGCATCATTCCAGTTCGAGAACCATATACGGATAACCAAAGACACAGCATGATGTATATGCACATACGTATCTCCATGGAGCACCAAGGAGAAAGCCGCTTTCAACATTAATTCAGGACGTACCTTGACTGTATATGGCAAAAACTCCATAAGCAAAATCGATGAATAGCAATCAATGCCGTAACATTGTGTTCTTCACACGCTTCGGGGTGTACCCGTTCCAACCTAAAACTTTAGACATGATAACACAATTATAAAATAATGAATTAATGAAAGATGAAAACAACTTATTTTCCAAAATCTTCACCAACATCAAACTGAACTAAAGGATCCCTGTCTCGTTTATTTCAGTGTGATAGTGTTCTTCATACTGTACTAAATTTTCAGGTGGATAGTCTTCACATTGTACATATGTATAGAAGTATGTATATTAAACTTGGTTAACTACTGAAGGTCACCTGATGGGCTACCTTTACTATATTCTTTGGTTACCCTACCACTCTAGGCAAATGAAAAGTGGGAGATGTCTCAGAACACAGAGGAAAGCGATCTCGAACGGCCAATAAAGTTTGAAACGATTTGTATAGGGCCAATACCGTACTATTGCACACACACACACATCACTGTCCTTGGACCGAGACTTTAATTGCAACAATGTATACTCGCAACTGTAATTTGGCAAAAATAGCTTACGATTCAGAGAAACGATGGAAATTCCGTAATGCAAACAGGGTCGAGTGATGGCAAGGACAACAACCGTATGAGTGTTAAGCTTTTTCGTTTATTGAAAATATCTCTGTAAAACGTGTGTATATTGTGGCCGGGCGAGGTAAGCCGACAAAACCGAATCATTCGACAACGAAACGAAATCGGGTAGCAAACGAAGGAAATACGGTGAAGACATTGAAAACAATAATAGAGTCGATCGTATTTAGTATCTACATAAGTAAAGGACGAATCAACGATGCATTCGCTTACTTTTTTCTCTCTTTTTTTTTAATCTTAGTATATTAATTATATTATGTATAACAAAGCGGTAACAACTTGTTAATTGTAACTATTACGGTAATAATCGTTTACTTTATATAATTACAATAATGTAATGTAAGGATGATCGTTAACTAATCGATAACAAACGAATCGTTTCCTCCTCCATCATTCCCTTCGTCTTGATCATCAATATAATTCTCGTCACTTCCTTACTTTTGTTCTCGTCTTTGTGGGTTTTGTTTCCTCCCCCTTTATTGAATCCGATATCGGTCTTCGGTTAAATCGATTTTTTTTTTGTATTGTTACAGTATTCTTTTTTCCTCTTTTCGTTATATCGCTCATCCCCTCTTTCGTATTAATTATTTAACAACAGTTTTTTTATCCCTTTTATTATTTGCTCTTTAATTTAATAATCGTAGTAAACATAGTAATTATTTATAATATTGTGCAAATAATCCATATTTTATTCTGTTTTTAATAGTAATGAATGTCATTCAACGGAGGAGCTCTTTCTACGTTCTCTCTCTTTTTCTCTCGCTTATTCTCGTTTACTCTCGCTCGCTCTCTCTCTCTCTCTCTCTCTCTCTCTCTCTCTCTCTCTCTCTCTTTCTCTCCCACTCTTTCTCTCTGTTACCTCTATCGCTCTGTCTCATTCGTACCACTCTTTATCATTCTCACACCCACACACACACACGCACGTTATCTCGGTGTCTCTCTCGGTTTTGCTTGCTCGCGCGCATTCACGGTGGGTGCTGTGTGGGGTTTTTTTGGGGGGGCGGTGGAGGGGACACGCGTCCACGCGTGCGCGTGAACGCGCGCGAGCGGGCACGGAGCACGCGTTTAAATGGACGAACCTTCGCGCGTAATGTGTATTTTTTAATACTTTTTCTTTTTGTTAAATCGACAGCTAGCTCGTTAAAATTGGATTTTTTTTTGTCTTAGCACATTTCGTCTATCTAGCTTGTTGACCCATGGCAGTTGCTTGTTCATTATACTGGCCGACAGGCTCTGCAGCTTGACACGTTTACTCGATTACTTGTTTTATTTTATCGTTACTTTTTTTTTTTTGTTGTTGTGTAGCCCAGCTCTAGGATCTTTGTTTCGTTATATCCCATTTTATTTTTTTTCTTTAAATAATGCTTCTGTTGTGTGTACTCATCGTTTAGTATTTATTATCCGACGACGTTACGTTTTTTTTTGTTTAGGTTAATGGAGTTTTCGAGAGTTTTCGAGACACTACAAAGCCCTTCTTGTTATTTTTATTTTTCTGTTTCGCTATCCGTTTAAGAAAAATTTTTCGTGCATTTACGATTAGTTAACTTAGTTTTCATTCTCTCTGTATACAATGCGTAACGGCAGTATCGTCCACGGAGAAAGTACGTTTAAACCTTTTTTTGCCTTACCTTGCTTAACGAAGGTAAGCCCCTATATGTGTGTATATATATATATATTTTTTTTCTTTAATTATCTTACAGCCGTCGTCGCGCAAAAGCTGGTATTGTTTAATGTACGTTCTTTTTTTTTTTGTTAAAACGAACGAAAGGTTAATGAAGCACACCATGCATTCTCTTCCACCCCCTAGCCACCCCTCCCCCTCAGTTTCTTCTCGTTACCGTAGCAATTTGGCCGATCAAACGAACGTTTTCCTTTACGATTCTCCTGTCACGAGCGTCACGACCAAGCGAATTTTACAGGCGACCCGATCGAGATACGTGTTCCCAACATTCTAACGTTTGTTTTTTTTTCTTTTTTCTTTTTACACGTCTCCGCCGACGATTCAACGGATCGAATGTTCGGGCTTACCAATAATCGGTAAACGCGATTGAAGACCGGGGAAGTTACGATTCAATCGAATATTCGATCACGACGAATTTCGTCAGTTTCGATCCACAACAAACCGTTCGGATGTAGAGCGACACCAGAACGATTTTCGTTTCAAGATTATTCAATGATCATTCTAATTTTAATGTTTCAAATTCAACGCGGAAGCTTTTGTTTTTTCTCTCCCAGTAGATCGTTGCGTTTAAAAATTTCTTTTAGCACGAGGAAAACACTGATAAAGGAAAGAAGTGATACGTTACAGACTACAGGAATCGAGATATCTACTCTTCTGCGTGTTAGATATCGCTGTACCAGCGTTATTATTATGCAGTGGCGCAGAATCTCCCGCCACTGGTTCGAAAATTCGTTGAAATTCGTTCTGGCACCGCCCTGTGTCTCAACGGTCGATATGAACTAACATTT